GGGGGTTGGTTGGCTGGGTTTGGAGATGTGGGCTCGGAGAGGTTGGGGGTAAGGGATGGGGAGTTTGGGGGACAGGGCTTGGGTGGGTCGGGGATTTGGGGATAAGGGTTGGGGCTTTGGGGGAATGGAGTTTGGGGATCTGGGGAGTGAGGGGATGGGGGATTTGGAGGGGAAAGGGGGGTTGGTTTTGTCAGTTTGGGTATCAGGCTGAAGGGATCGGGGACAAGCAGGGGGGGGATTTGGGGGTCAGGAGCTGGGGGGATTGCGGGATAAGGGAGGGGAAGTCGGGGTGGGGGTGTTTGGGGATTTGGGGGAATAAAGCTTGGAGGGTTTGGTTTGGGGGCTGATGGGGTTGGGAACAAGGGCCAGAGGGCTTGGGGATAAAGGATGGGGAATTTGGGATTGGAGGACAGAGGTGTGGGGTTTGGGTCAGGGGTTGGGGCTGAACACAGACAGCTGGCACCTTTGGATGTGCCTCAGCCTGAGCCCAGGGGGCCACGCTTCTATGATAAATGTAATTCCTGGCAGTAACTTCTGTGAAACGCTTTGAAATAGAAAATGCACTGGGAACGTTCCTTATTGCTTCTCAAGGGAGAGGAGCAAAAAGTCTGCGAGCAAGAATTATGGGAAGCCAGAGAAGGAAATTCAGATGCTACTCAATTTAGGCTTTTCAAAATCCCTTGGAAGTTCCTACCATCCAGACGTGACAGAGACCAAATGAGCAGAGAGTACTGCGGCATCCAAGCCCTTTGCAGCTGCCTTATTCTCATCTTCAGTTAATTTTCTAGGGGGATCTGGGCCCTTTCAATCCCGGTTTGCCAGTGGAAGTGCCTGTCTGGTTGGCCATCAATCTGAAGCAGAGGCAGAAGTGCCGGCTGATACCCCCAGAGTGGATGGATGTGGGTAAGGACAGCAGCTTCCAAGGGTACAAAGGCAACACAGAAAAATCTCTGGTTTTCACCCTTACTGGGGAGCTTAATTGAACTGATGCAAAGCAACTGTGAGAGAAGAACCTAGTGTTTCTCCACTGGGGTTCTTCATATTTGCATGCAATGCCATCTTCCCAGTCAGGGCGTTTGACTTCTGCTCCTTTGGTGAGCAGGAGTGGGGTTGGTGGAGGAATAAGAGACCTTAAGGGAGCAGTCCTGCTCTATTCATGCAAGGGCACAAACACTCATTAGTGCGAGTGCTTTGTGGCTGAAGGGGACAAATCCTGGCAGGTGAAAGCTTTGGTCAAGCTGGTGTGGATCCAGCGTGCTGTGCCAAGCGCCTGTCAGCATTTTGGCCCTGATGAGAATCTGTTCCCCTTGGGAGCTGAGAGCTGCCATGGCAAAGCTGCTCCTAGAGCCCGGGACAGGCATTAGGTGTAAGGGGTCTTTGACTTCATTATAGAAGCCTTTTCCTTTTCCTGTCTGTACACTGTCCACGTTTACACCAGCTTGAATCAGAGATTTGGTCCTACAGGAACAACGTGCTGTTTTTGCTGGGGGAGAAGTGGGTCAGAAGAGTTGGAGCTCTGCCACTGCCTGACATTCCTGTCTGTGTTTTTAGAAAAGCTGGAGGAAATTCGGGACCAGGAGCGCAAAGAGGACACCTTCACTCCGATGCCCAGCCCCTATTATATGGAACTCACAAAGCTGCTCTTAAACTAGTAAGTGGGAAATGTATTGTAACAGTTTCCACCTGACTACATGCTTGCATAGACAATTTTTCAAGCTTTCTTTGGCAGCAGCCCCAGAGGGCTGTGGGAAAGTGAGAGTTAATGGGGGTTTATTTCACAGCGTGCCAAGATCTCTCTGCAGCCGTTTTCTCATGGTAGCTTTGCATTTCAGTAACTGGGGATTGCTTGTTCTGTGCCCTGATAATTGGGGCTGCGCCGCTTTATTGAGCAGCAGCTAAGCGTAGAGGCCTCGAGTACAGGCAGCACATTCCATGGCTGCAATCTGTTCGGCAGCCTGAACCCTCCAGGCTTCTTCCTTGGCTCTCCTTCAGGAGGAAAGCTCCTCTTTCCTCGGCCTGAGAAGCAAGAGAGCGGGGTTATTCCGAGTCTAACCTCGTGCCTGCTGCGGCATTTCACTTGTAAAATGTGCTGGCTGGTATTTTTCTAAGCACAGGCTCTCCTGACTTGAAGCCCTTGATTACAGTGGGGTGGTCGTTTAAGCACTGGCTTCTCCTCTGGAGACGACGCTGCTGGCGTGCGGCGTCTTCGCTCACGCTACAATAACCCTGACAGCTCTGTCTGTGTGAATGGATCTCATCTCTCGAGGTCCTTATGGCAGCACTGAATTGCCTTAATGGGAGGCTGAGGGCACGACTCGTGAAGTCCCTTCAGCTTAACTCTCCCTGATGGAGCCATGAGAGCACAGACCGGGCTTCGGTGGCAGCCGAGTGCTTCCAGCTCCCCTCCCGTGTGTGGCTTTGGCCAGGTTATTGGCTGTGCTCGTACCTCGGACCAGCTGGGCAATTACAGAGCAGAAGGATTGCAGCGAGAAGCAGATGCTGCATCAGAGCCGAGAATTCCTGGGTAAATAAACCACCCCAAAAATCCCAGCAGAGGAAGCACCAGGCTGGATTTTAACGTCGAGTCGCGGCGTTGTTGGTGTTTTTTATACAGCAAACTGCTCCGCTTCTGCCTTAGAGGGCTGAAGAGCTGCCAACATCACTTATGCCAATGACATAACACACGAGGATGTTCTGATCCTCTCTCTCTCTTCCAGCGCCTCCGACAACATCCCCAAAGCAGACGAGATCCGGACGCTGGTGAAGGACACGTGGGACACACGGATGGCCAAACTGAGGCTGTCTGCAGACAGCTTCGTCCGGCAGCAGGAGGCCCACGCCAAGGTGAGGTGGGATGGGATGCAGGGATGCAGGCAGGGCTGTGCTGGGAGGAGTCCAGCTGCTGTGTGTGGGCTGCTGGTTGATGAGAGCTGCTTGTGGGAGCGCTGGTTGGGTGTGTTGTTCCAGAGCCGTGGGCAATGTGGGTCAGGTGCTGAAGCCTCGTGTTGAAACCTCTCCTGATGGGCTGCTGGTGGCTCCCCGAGGAGCAGCAGTGGGCAAATAGTGCTCGGGTTGGTCTGTAGAAGCTGCAGGCTTCTCTTAGCTGCTCCCTCGGGGTGCCGCCCTCCCTTCAGCACAGCTCTGCTCCACAAGTTCTGCTGCTTCCTCTTTCAGCTGGATAATCTGACGCTGATGGAGATCAACACCATTGGGACTTTCCTTACTCAAGCCTTAGACCACATGTACAAGCTCCGGACCAACCTGCAACCTTCTGGGAGCACAGAGTCCCAGGATTTCTGAGCTCTTCTGCCCACCCCAACCCTCCCAGCACACACACAGCCACTGTGCCAGCTTCCACCTCTTCGTGCACATCTGCCAGAACCCTGGGAGCTTTGTGAGCCGTCAGCCACGTGCAGCCCGTGCCCGGCAGCAGCTGCAGAAGCAGGTTGGGCTTCCCCTGCCTGGGGAGGGAGCAGGGCAGAGCTGGCACAGGGCATTCCCTGCATGAGAGCTCCACGAAGCCCTCGCTTCCCCTTCACAGAGCTTCGCCTCTCCCTTTGGTTCAGAGGCTGCTGCCAAAGACGTGCACGGATACAGGTGGTGGCTTGCCAGCATCCAGCTAATGATGTCGGGCAGATCTCTCTGCCCTGCAGAGTGTGGATGTACTTCATAGAGGGAACTTCTGAGGGCAGCACAGGCCACACACTGGCTTGAAAGCAATGAATTTTAAGGCAGAGCTTCGCTGTGGATTCGCTCGGAGCCTCAAAACAGGGAAAGATGTGCCTGCAGCGAGAGCGCTGGGAGGCACACATCCATCTGCTCCATGGAGAAGGACAAAAGAAAATGGCTTTTCCCTCTCTGGTTGGTGCTATTGAACCTCCCAGCACCTGGGCCACCACCAGGCTGAGCAGGACCCCAAGGGAAGGGGGGCAGGACCCCAAAAGGTGGGGTGGCAAAGCTGGGAGCAGTGCCCTTTTCTTATTGCTGCTGGGGGAGAAAGAATCCTGCCATCGTCAGGAAGATTCTATGATGATGATTTTTGTTGTTGTTCTGATGTTTTCAGAAATGACAGCCATGGAGTCATAAATACCTACTTGCTACACTCACCAAATGATCTCCTCCATCACAGTTAATTCAAACAAAGATGCTGAGAACAAGTTTAGGGTGGGTTTTTTTCTCCATCTCTTGGTGGTTTGCTCTGACAGCATCTCCCTGCCCCAGCAGCTCTGCCCTCCGCTGCCCCAACTCTTGCATGGACAAAACGTGACCCCAGGGAAGCACTGCTGTGTCAGAACCTTGATATTATGGGCTGGCATGGGGAAGTGGGGGGGTGGATCTCAGCATGGAAGCGAATCTGCAAGCCAGCCCTGGCCGTGGAGCTGCAGCAGCTGCAGCGATGAGGGCTGAACGGCCGACCATTTTCCATCCCTGTCTTCCTTCCTGCCCAGCACGCAGGGAAGGAGAGCAGATTGTGTGTTAACATTCACCACGAGAACACAGGGAACTGAAAGCACAGGGGTCACCTTTTCCAAACGCCCTGAGCTCATCTGGTGGCAAACAAGGAACAGCTTCCCCTGGGAGTGCAGCCATGAGCCGAGCTGTGAGGGCAGGGCAGCAGCTGGGCTGCCCCAATGGGCTCTGATTGGCTTTGGGGCTGCTCCCCATGCCACCCCATAAGTGTGGGGCTCTCATCAGCATGCAATGCCCACGGCTGCCCCAGTGTTTGGTGGGGGGGGCAAAGAGCCAGAAAGCAAAAGGCAGTGGAGAAAAGATGGGGGGGGTGTTTGGAGGCAGCCCAGGGATTCCTGGTACAAACACAGAAAGGAGAAATGAAAAGCAAACAAAAAGAGGTGAAGGGGGGGAAGCAAAATAAAATAAAATAAGCAAGTTCTTTTTATATATATGACAATAATAATTAAAAGCAATAAAAAAACATACAAAACTTTTTTCCTTTTTAATATATATACACATGACAAGGCTGAAGCACTTTTTTTTTCTCTTTTTTTTCCTCTTTTTTTTTTTTTTCCTCTTTTTTTTCAGTCTCTTCCATCGCCAAACCATCACCCCACACCCCTCCAAATGTGGGACCCTCCCTTCTTTCACCCCCCCCTCCCCTCCCTTTTCCTCCTCCCCCTCCCCAACCTTTCCCCCCCCCCCTCAGGAACGAAGCGCTGCTCCGAGGGTTCATGGACTTTATTGGTTATAGCCAAGTGCAGTGCTGGGGAGCCCCAAGCTTGGGGGGGGGGGGGGGGGGGGGGTCGGTGTGTGTTTTGGGGGGGGCTGCCCCTCACCCTGCAGGGCTCCTCCAGCCTTAGTGTTGCTGGCAGTGGAGTCTTCCATCAGAATGTATAAAATGAAATAAGAAATGAGCGATAGAAAGTGTGCATGGGGTTGGGGGGGGGGGAAGGAGGGGGGGGGGGGGGGACACAAGGTCAGAGCCCAGCCTCCCTCACATCCCCCCCCTCCGCCGCCCTTTGCTTCATGCATGGCACATTCTCCGTTTGCTTTTGTTTTGTTGCTTTGCTTTTTGTTTTTTTTAATTATTATTATTATTATTTTATTTATTATTATTTTTTTTTTTTTTTTAGCTTCAAACCTCCCAGTGAAAAATATTAAATATTCAAGGTAATAAAATAGATTATTATTTCTAGACTATATGTTCGGCCTATAGCCCAAGGAGGGTCACCTGGGATACCCCTTGAAATAACCCCTAGACCACTGCATTGCAGGCAAGGCAAGGCACTTCCGCAGGTGATCCAGCTCTGCTTGCAGTCTCTCTCGTTCTGAGACAATCTTCTGCTTCTGGGTCCTTAATTCCTGCAGGGAGGCAGCAGAAGGGCAGCGTCAGGGCAGCAGACAGGGAGTGCAGGGGGTGGGCAGTGCAGGGAACAGCGGGGACTTGCAGGAGCGTGGGGACACTGGAGGGCAGTGGGGACACTGCAGGAAGATGTGGGGATACTGAGCGGAATGGGGACACTGCAGGAGGATGGGGGACCTTGGAGGACCATGGGGAGATGGCAGGAGGATCGGGAGCTGCAGGAGCATTTGGGGATGCTGCAGGAGGATGGGGACCTTAGAGGACCATGGGGAGACTGCAGGAGCTTCGGGACATTGGAGGATAATGGGGACATTGCACGAACATCAGGATGGGGGGGGGACTGAAGGGAATGGGGCACTGCAGGAAAGTGGGGACCTCAGAGGGAAATGGGGGGGATTGCAGGAGGATAGGGACAATGGGGACACTGCAGGAGCATGGGGACACTGCAGGGTGATAGGGCACTGCAGAGGATAAGGGGAGGTTGGAGAACAGTGGGGATGTTGGAAGAGGATGGGGAGGATTGAAGAGAATTGGGGGCATTGCAGAATGGGGAACTACAGGAGAATGGGGACCTTAGAGTACAGTGGGGAGATGGTAGGAGGATTGGGCACTGTATTGGGTGGGGATATTGTAGGAGGATGGGGACACTACAGCAAGATGGGGACATTGGAGGACGATGAGGACACTGCAGGGGATGGGGACGTTGCAGAAGGTGGGGGCACTGCAGGAAGATTTGGGAATACCACAGGAAGATGGGGGATGTTGGAGGACAGTGGGAACACTGCAGGAATACAGGGACACCGGAGGAGGTATTGAAGGGAATTGGGGTGTTGCAGGAGGACAGGGGGATTGAAGGGAACGGGGCCACTGCAGGAGGATGAGGAACTTACAGGACAGCAGGGAAAGCACAGGAAGATGGGGACGTTGCAGGAGGATGGGGACACTGCAGGAGGATGGGGCAACTGGAGAGGATGGGGACATTGCAGGAGGATTTGGGGCACTGCAGGATAATGGAGACCCCCCCCCCAAGGAGGCCTGGATGCCCTGCAGAGGCCAGGTGCCCCCCCAGAAGCCCCACTCACCGCCATGCTGTGCGAAAGCTGCTCTGCCGTCAGGCTCAGGCTGTAGTGCTGGGCCTCCAGCCGCCGGCACTGTGTCTGCAGCACTTGGCGCTCCAGGTTTTGTTCTGCAAGGTACAGGGATTGGGGTGAGCACCTGAAAGCCCTCGCTCCCTGCCAGCTCCCAGGACAACGCAGCCCTTCACCAGCTGGATGGAAAAGGTCTGGGTGGCGGGCCTGGGGGCAGCAGGGCGTAAGGTGATGCTTGGTGACATGACCCCATGGCTAACCAAGTCAGGCAACACCCCGCCGAGCCCCAGTCCCCAATCTCTACCTTCTATATGTTCCTGGTAAGCTTCAAAAATTGCCTCGATCCCTTGCCACTTGGGCCTGGGGCACTCCTCCTCATCCTCCTCCTCGTCTTCCTCCTCCTCATCCTCAGAGGCCGAGTCACGGCGGTCCCGTGGCAGCGGTGGGGCGAGCGCCCGGTGCCCCTCGGCCGTGCCATTGTGTGGGGCAGGAGGGCGGCTGGAGGCCTGAAGCTCAGGGATGTTGTAGTGGATGGAGGCATCCAGCTTGTGGTTCTGCTCCGCCGTCCCCCCTGCAGGCACAAACAGCGTCAGCCCTTTCCCTGCTGGCTTCATTTTTCTCAGCCCCACGCGTTGAAATGGATGAGTTTTGCTACAACCCAGCTGTGTTTTCCCCAGCACTTCTGGGGAACCTCTCCACCATCTTTCCCAGGGACACTCTGGGAATGGGGTTACAAGTGCATTTTCCCATAGTGCCAACCCACAGCTCTCCTGCCTGTGCCCCCTTGAGGCTGCTGCCCCAGCACGGTACCTTTGTGCTTCTGCAACGCCTTCTGCGTGGACTGCAGCACAGACTCGTGGAACTGGTGGGCAAACTCCTCAGCAATAAAGGGCTCCCAAGGCTTGCTTTTGCCATTCATGCTGTGGGACAGCGGCACAGGGACGTCCTTGGGCAGAGGGCCCCTGACATAGCTGAGGATGCTCAGTGCCTTCTTCCCCGAGTGCCCGTCGCTCAGCCGAGGCTTCTCAGCCGGCTCCTTCACCCTGGGCAGCTCTGCAGTCCTCAAAGGCTCCACTCTGCCCGGCTCTGATGGCTTCTGCACCTCGGGCACTGAGGCTACGATGCCAACGGGCTTATCCGGGTCCAGCAGCAGCGGTGGCTCTTGGGGCAGAGGAGCAGCGGTGTCGGCACAGTGGTGCCCCATCGGGCACTGGAAATGAGGGGGAAGGAGGAGTGGAGAAGCTTACCGGCAGCGGGGCCGCTGGGGCTGTCCCGTGGAGAGCTCTTCACCACCACGGCGGCCGGCGTTGGCTTCTGCTTCATGGCCTGCAGCATCTCCACCAGCTTCTCCTTGTCTGCCGCATGGGAAGCTGAGGTTTAGTGTAGCCTCTGCTCAGCAGGGTGTGCTTGCGGCACCAGGCAGCCCCGCAGTATGGGGACAGGGACCCCCACCCCAGCACGGGGCATGGCGTTACCTTTCCTCTTTTCAGCGCTGATGTGCGTGAGGTTGAAGATGGTGAGGAAGCGTTTCTTCTCCTCGAAGTTGGGGCTGTTGTTCATCTCGTCGGGGCTGTAGCGGGTGGAGAGGGGGAGGCGTGGGGAGGGCGTGCGGCGCTTGTTCTGCACCGTGGGTGGTGAGGGGCTGCGCTCCCGCAGCATCCGCCGGCGCTTGCGCCGCTTCTGGCTCAGTAATTCCTCCTTCTGCTGCTGCGTGGTGAGGCCGAAGAGCTGCAGGAACTCCAGCTTCTGGGGCCCGAGGGGGAGAACAGAGCTGGGTCAGCCCCGGAGCAGCACAGCACCTGTCCCCACCCTTCATTCCCATCTCCATCCCCATCTCTAGCTCCATCCCACCCCCATCCCATCCCCAATCCCAACTCGGCCCCACAGCCAGCTGAGTGCTGTGCCCATACCTCAGAGGATGTGTCCAGCTTCAGCGGGGGCTGCTCGGCCACGCACCGGAGATGTGCCCGCACCTCCTCCTCGTCACTGTCATCGCAGGAGTCATCCAGGTCGTAGTAGTAACCTGGGGACGGGGAGAGGCTGATAATCAGCCTGTGGAGGGCATGCTGGGACCCCCATATACTGCTGGGGCCCTAGGAATGGCTGGGATCCTGCTGGGTAGGGATGCTCACCGCAGCATCCCAGCTCAGCTCTGTTTTGGGATGGTTTGCAGGGGGGACTGGAGGAATTACATCTCTGCGGGCTGCTTGTAGTGGGAGGGCTGACTGTCCCCTTGCTGCTGGGGCACCAGGGAAGGAAACACCCCAGGAGCACCTCGTGCCAGGGACACTGGGGACACACTGTCTGCCTTGACAGGGGGCACCAGGCTCAGCAGGTTAATGGGGCACAAGGGGGGGATGGCAGTGCTGCCCCCACACCCCGCTCCATCTCCTCCTCGCTGCTGTTCACATCCCCGCTCGCACAGCCCTATTAATATTTAAAACCAGCTTATTAGCCTCAGTTCATCATTTATTAATTGGGCACGTCTAGAGCGGAGGATTTACCAAGCTGCTCTGATTTGGCTTTTGGGAACATTTGCATCGAATGCCTGCAGGCTGGGCTGATGGCATCACAGGGGAACCCCCTCCTGGCTGCCCCCATTGGGGCCCTGGTCCCTGGGGGGGGGGGGGGGGGGGGGGGGGTCCCAAGCCCCCTCCTCACCTTTCTCCCTGGCTTCCCGTCGCCGGCGCTCCTCCAGGTCCAGCTTGCTGACCAACCTGCGGTGCTGCTGCACGAACTCATCATAGATGTACATGGGGTCCTGTGCGCGGGGCTGGGGGGGTCTGTAGGGCGAGCTGGGCTTGGTCACCTCCCCAAAAGGGGTGGCCGGGGGTCTCTGCTGGCTCAGGATGCTTTGCGTGGATTTCTCCAGCTCGGCTAGGAATGGTGTGTGGGTGAAGCCTGTGTGCTCCGCAGCGCTGGGCTCTCGTGGCAGGGGGTATTTCTCCAGCGCATCCCTTTTCCTGGCACTGTCTTCCAGCTTCTCGGGGCAGAAGACTCTCTCCACCTTCACCAGTGGGATGCCCTGCCGGCTGGGTTCAAAGGGGGCCGGGTGGCCGTGGAGGACGTGAGGCTCAGGGAGGCGCCGGGGGGGCTCCGAGGGGCTCTCCATCAGGGAGACAGGGTTCCAGAGGGATGTGGTGATGGGGTGGTGCTGGGGTTTGGGGGAGATGAGTGGCGGCGGACCACCGAAGTGCTGCCCTGGCTCACGGATGCTCGGCTCATGGCGGCTTGGTCCCGACCTGCAGGAAGGAGAGGAGAGGGAGGCATGGAGAGGAGAAGCAAACCCTCTGTGCAGGTTGGATCTGGGGAGAAATGATCTGTTGGGTGCACAGAGGAGGGTTGGGAATGGGACACAGGACAAGGGACCACTCCACGGGACTGGGACGGCACAGGCACTCAGCGCACAAAGAGCGACGCTGCAGTGAAACCTTCCCTAAACACCCAGGGAAGGAGCAAACCTGTTAGCAGGATAAATATTTCATGCGCCGAAGAGGAGCGTTTAACGCTTTTCCACTCGAGCGCTCCAGACCTCTGCACAGCAGAGCAGCGAGGGCTCAGTGCTGCCAGCCGGGTGGCAGCTGCCACCGTGCCACAGAGAGCTCCTGCAGGCACCAGCACTGCTGGCTGAGGGCATCACCTGCCCCGGTGGAGAGTGGGGTCCCTGTCCCTCCCCACCATCTGGGGGTCTTTAGTGGAGCTTACGTGGGGAGAAGGCAGGATGCTGCGTGAGGGACCGGGATAAGAATGAGATGATAGGGATGAGAAGAAGATGGAAATGGGATAGGAGGAAGATGAGGCTGTAAGAACACCCCCCCTTCTCCCCCTCTCCTACTTGCTGCTGTGCTCAGGGTGACCTTGATGTCTCTTCCCTGCTCTGGGGAGGGATGCACGGATGGGGGTGGGCGGCTGCAGCAGGCACTTGCCATTGTGCCGCCCCGCAATCCACTCCTTGTTATACTCGATTAGCTGCACTAATCCCCTTGATATCCAAAAATAACAATGGGAGCCGGCAGCAGAGCCGACTGGATAAGCCCACACCACCAGAGCGCTCGGCGACAGAGCGAGAAAACCCGCGTCAATGCAGGGCTGTGGGCACGGGGTGCCCCCCTCATCCCACTGCGCATCCCTCTATCACAACAGCTTTCAGGCTGCGCAAGGGGAAGCTGCAATTAGCGGTGCCGTCGCCTCGGCAGCACCTGGCTGCTCACTGCTGGCCCTCGGCCACCTCCCGGGCTCACCGCCTGCTGCCGCGCAGATGTCAGGCAGTGGCACCACACAGTGCTGCCAGCACAGCCGGCCTGGCTGGCACAGCACGGCGGGGACCTGCTGGCACCGGACACACAGCTCGCCTGGTGCGGGGGGGGGGGAGGGGGGGGGGCAAGCATGAAGGCTGAGCTTGGGGGGAAGAAAGGGGGGCTGGTCCTGCTAAGAGCCAGCTCACGGGGTGACAAAAATGGCAGCAAGATGGGACAAAAAAAGTCTTACAAAGCCTTCAGGAAGATTGGCACAGGGAGCACGGAAAGGGGCATCCCGCATCCTGGCAGAGAAGCAAAAGCCACCTGGGGCGCACAGCCCTACTACCTGGGGTTGTCAGGCCGGTGCTCGGGCTCAGGCTGGCTCGGGGTGCGCCCCATGTCGAGGTGCTGCTCCAGCACCTGCTGGCGAAACTCTGACACCTGGGACTGGCGGTCCTCCTTCTCCTGGCGCAGGCGGCGCTGCCGGGCCAGCCACTTCTCCTCCTCGTTGGTGCGGTGGATGAGCAACGCCGTGGCCGCGCTGCTGCCGGGCAGGGGGAAGACGTTGTGGTTGGGGATGAGGCTGGGCACGGGGTGGTGCGAGGTGGGTGGTGGGTGCAGAGGGTGCTGGAGGGGCTTCGGCGTGGGCAGCACCGAGTCCTTCAGTTTCTCTGGGGAACAAAACAAAAGAAGGGAGATGGAGGATTGGTGGGGTGCACACTGAACCCTACCTGTGCGTGGAAGAGGGCCGCCCAGCATCCCCATAGGATGGCGGCCTGCAGCTCCTGCTCCCCCTGCCTGCTGCCAGCCCAGCTGCTCGGCGTGCTGGGGTTAAGTCAGATGGCACAAACGCCTCTCCAAGAGTCCCGCAGCAGCACCGCTGAGCGCACCGCAACAGCTGGGCTCCTGGCACTGCGAGCTGGCAGCCAGAGAGCTGGGCTTTGGGACCCGACCCCCTCAGTGCTGGCCCATCTTTACCATCTGGAGAGGAAGGGGGACCAGCCCCCAGCGCCACCCACAGGGTTGTTACCTGCTCTGCCGGGCTCCGGCAGCTTGCTGCGCTCTTCAGCCGGGTGCCCCCGCAGAGCATGGAGCTCGGCCACAGGCAGGAAGGGGCTCTCCATGGCTTTCACCATGCTCAGCTCCTTCTCCCGGGCACGCTCCCGCTGCCTTTCCAGCTCCCGCTCCTTCTCACGTTCCCTCTCCAGCTCCTTCTCACGCTCCCGTTCCCGTTCCTTCTCCCTCTCCCGGTCCGCTTCCCTCTCCCGTTCCTTCTCCCGTTCCCTCTCGCGTTCCCTTTCCCTCTGCCGCAGCTCCTCATCCATTTGCAACCTGCGAAAAAGAACCAAAGGAAAAACACCCCCATCAGGTGCCCGTTAGCCTCCCATAGACCCATAGACACCCCTGCCTCCCCCCCATCTCCACCCCACAATCACTCACCTCTCAGCAGCCAGGCTGGAGATGCGCTCCGATTGCAGTGCGGAGAGCGAGGAGTGCGAGAGCTCGGCAGGGTACCTCACACCTGACAGGTGCAGGTGCATGGCAGAGGGGTGCAGGGGGGGCAGCGAGCCTGGGGCCGGCAGTGGGTAGAAGGGGGACCGCAGCGCTGAGAGGCAGTAGGAGTCGTCCATCCTGGGGAGACAGAGGTGCTCAGCGGGGTGCAAAACTCCAAGAAGAACCCTCCTATCCTGGAGGGTTGTTGGGGTCATCCTCCCTCCTCCCAGTAGCATCCCTGCCGGTAAGTGCCCACCTGAAGGCAGGGTGAGGGAAGGGGTGGTGTGTCAGGTAGCTGGGGTGGTAATACGCAGCAGCTGCAGCTGGGTCCAAGCCAAGAGGTGGCAGTGAGGACATGCGGAGGTCCTCAGCTGTGTGGTAGGGCCGAAAGCTGCGCAGGTAATCCTCAGTGACAGCACTGGGTGGCACCACGTGGTGCACGGGACGCTGCAGGCTGGTGGGGAAAGGGGACAGTGAGCATCAGGGGGACGTCACCCCCACCTGCGAGGGGCCTGCGGTCTGCATCTTCCCACACCCCTGATCATCTTGCATGCTGCATTCCACACCCCCCACCACCCTGCACCCCACACCCTATATACCACATCTTACATCCCCTATCATCCCACACCCTGCATCCCTTATCATCCCACATCCTCCCAAATCCCACACTCGGCATCATCCCTGCATCCCACCCCCCGCATACCCACATCCCTGCTCCATCCCACATCTCCCCCTGACACCGACTCACTTGAGAGGTGGGAAGCGGGAGTCCTGGACCACAGAGCTGGGGGGCAGCCCAAAGGAGTATGGAGTGCCCAGGAGGTGCGTTGGGACCGTGGGAGCCCCTGCTTTCTCCTGTGTCAGAGGGGGCTCAGAGATGAGCCGTTCACGGCTGCTGCTGCTGCTGCCTCGTGACCCTGCTTCTTGCTGGAAGGCAGAGGGGTAGAAAAGAAGAGCAGGCTGTTAGGGGACGGTGGAGAGCATCCCCGCATCCACACTGTTAAAGCATGGGGCCCGAGAGGCTGCATGGGGGTCACCCAGCTGGAGAAGGGGGTGCTGATGCTGGGGATGGGCCGACAGCAGGACACGCTGTACCTGCCTGCAGATTTACAGGCAGCTTTGTTCTCCAGAGCCATTAATCACTTGGAGGATGCAGACACCAACGGCGCCCGGAGCAGCACAGCCGGTGTAAATCCGGCAGAGGCCCTTTGATAACAGCCATAAAACGCAGGGCCAGCCCCGGGGGGAGCCAATGGCAGCACCCCATCCCACTGCCTCATCAGTCAGGCGGTGAATTCCCAACCAGGATAAAGGTCACACGCACTGACCTCAGCTCGGGGGGCACCCTGGGGTCACCTGGCAGCACCGTCCCCATTACAGGGGCTGAGCCAGCGATGGAAGGATGAGCCCTAGCAGCAGGAACCAGGCTATTCCTCCAATCAAAGGCACGGCAGTGCAGGCTGCAGGACCCCAGGGCAGGCTGCAGGACCCCAGCCAGCCATCGGGGATGGTCCCAAGGTCACCGCAGGCGGCACAAAGGCCGTCCCCCCGCAGCCTGTGCTGAGCACAGTGCGTGTGAGGCTGCGCTCTAATTACCTCCCCCCAGCTCCAGGCGTCACGCTGCAAGCACAGCTCTGCCAGACAATAAAGCACGCTCAGTTAACCTATATTCCACTGGGGTCACTGAGGAGCAGCAGGACGGCGTGCAGGGGGGCTTGGTGGGGTGGGCAGCACCCGGTTACCCTGAGCCCCTCCATGTACCCAGGGGTTTGGTTTTGTTCCTCCCTACATCCAGTGTTTCTCATCCCTTCCCTCACTTCTCTGCTTTGTGGTTTAATTAGTCCTTCCAAGTGGCATAATCCCCCCGGGAATCTGCTTGCAACATGCAAGAGGAGAGGAGAAGAACTAACGATGCTTCTTAATTAGCCGGTGCGTAGTCTTGGGGGGCGGCCCCCCCCACCATCCACCACCCCCCCCCCCCTCTCCCGATGGCAGCCTGGGGATGTGGCAGAGGGGACAAAAGGAGCACAGTGCCGGGCGGCACCACGATGGGGAGCAGCTCCCAGCACTTTTATCACGCTTGGCACAAGCAAACGGCCCTCACACTATCAGCACAGCACATGGCAGCCGCACACCCTCTGCTCAGTGCCTCGGTGTCCCTTTTGGGGACGGGCTCCCCATCCTTACCTGCCTGCCCTCGCTCCTCCACACCCCATTGACTGTCTTGGTGGGGGCGATGGTGACGACGGGCGGCGTGCTGGGCACACTGTGTCCCCCCGGGGGCACAATGATGGGGCCCATGGGGCCACGTTTGGGCGTGCTGGCAGGTGAGCTGTGGTTGGTGGCTGGTGAGGAGACGGGCGACGACTCGCTGCTTATCGAGGAACCTGGGAAACAAACACAACAGGAGAGAGGCAGCTGTTAGAGGTGCCAACCACCTCCCCCTTGCCTGGGGGGCAGCAGCAGGTGAAGCCATCCCTATGTCCACGGAGACCCATCCTCTGTAGTCCCGGGCTCAGCTTGGATACAGGGGCTCATTTCCATCTCTCTGCAAACCCAGCTGAGCCACAGGGAGAGGGAAACCCAGCTCACTGCCCCCATAACCCAGCTCAGACCCCAAGGGTGAGCACCACCCCCAGGGCTCAGCCCATGCTCCGGTGCCAAGCAGTGCCAGTCAGGGCTGCTCCCAGACGCCGGTGTGAGGATGCGTGAGCCGCTCCTGGTAACCCTTGGGCAAAGCTTTGGCTCCATTTGCATAATACATCCGTATTTGAAATTATACCCACCCCAGGGATGCTGGCGGTATTTGCAAGGGAAAAATAAAACCCTCTGAAATGGAATTAAGGCGGAGAGTGCAACGCATGGAGAAAAGCAGAGCTGGAGCAGCAATACAAATTCCACGCTAACTGGGGCAGGAGGAGCCCAGCACGCGCTCGGCTGCAAATTGCCTGCACACAAATCCCCAGGCGAGGATCAGCTCCGGGTGCAGGAGCCAAAATGCACCAAACTGGCCACCGGCCAGAGTCTGGGGTGCCCAAAGCCACCACAGTGAGGCTGCCTGGGAGGTGACAGCTCTGCCCGGCCACGCACGGATGCCATAGCCTTGCATGAGCCAGCCTCCTCCCTTGGGTGTGCAAACTGTCTGCAAGCACACAAGCTGGCTGCCCTCAACACGCAGTGCAGCTCCTCACCCTGCACACATCCCCCTCCACTTCCAAACGCCCTCAGCACACACAGCCCAGCGCCGGGACGCGGAGGGAGCGGGGATGTCCCAGCTGCATCCCAAAGGATGCAAGCAAGGCAGGCAGGACGAGCGCAGCAGCACTCTGGCCACACCACCTTATTAATTATTCCCGAGTTGCTCCGAATCGCTTTCATTTCAAGAGCGGTGAGGCTGGGGGAGAGAAAGGCTGCCCGCCACAAAGGAGGCACCGATACGGATTTGACACCCACTGAAGTCTATCTTGTCAGCGCAAGGCCAACAACAATTAGCAGCCTAATCCCCTCTGAGCTGGGAAGCCATTACTCACCATGCGATAGCGTTAACAATCAATACCATCACAATGAGCCCGGCAATTAATGAAGCTAAAGTCTTACTTCAGAACCTTAATTCTCACTGTGTGGCTTTAAACGGGAGGGTTTGTGATCGTTATAATTAACTGGCGGTATTCAGCCAGGAGTTAGTCAATGAAACTAATCTGGATTGGAGATGACAAGAGGCACAGTGTGATGGTGTCACCTTTGTTTTCTGACCTCCTGCTTTCCGCTCAGCGATAGCAGATTAGCAGCTGGGGCTGACAGGCAAATGTAATTAACAGCTGAGACCCTGAAGGAGGAGGGAAAAAGAAGAAAGCAAAGGGGGGAAAAAAAAAATCTACCCTGCAGGCAGAGTTGTGCAGGGGTGAGCCTGGATGCCCCGGCCAGCCCCTGAGCTCTGGGGTTCTTTGTGACTCGCTCCATCCTATGGGGATGGACTCAGCCCTGAAGCAAGGAGGGATGTGCTGCAGGACCCCATCCATGGCCCCTTCCACAGCGGGATGGAAGCGTGTCCCTGTGCATCTCTATGCATCCCTGTGTCCCCACGTGCTGCAGAGCTGATCCATGCATGCAAACCACCTCTGGTCCACAACACCCCAGAGAAAAGCCCTCTGAAGGCATCATCCCATCCACAGTGTGCCATGGTCAAGCATCGTCCCAGCTCCGTGGGAAGGGAAATGGGATGAGGATTGGCTTTCCAGGAGGAAAACCACAGCATGGAGCAACACCCAGCACTGCACTGCAGCCCACAAGCATGGGAACCCCTGGGATGAGGTACTCAGGTAGCCAGAGAGGGGAGGAGGATGGGTTCTGTGAGCAAACTGTGCAGCAGTTACACACAGCCCAGCAGAGGGAGGGGAAATCCAAAGGGATTGCGGCGGCTTAGCATGAGACAGCATTGCTGGGGCAGGAATTTGGGTAGGGCTGCACACGGGGAGAGCACTGCAGGAGGGAGAAGAGGGCAAGCTGGCAAAGGAAACCCCAAGGAACTGAGCAAAAATATATTGCTTTGGATGGGCTGAGCTGCCTGCACTGCGCTGTGCCATGGCTCTTGCAAACAGTGTTTGTGAGAAGGTTCTTGCCAAGGGTCTGGGTTACGATAAGGAGCAGCCAGTGGGGCAAATATCAGGGAGAAACACTTTGTGTTTGCAAAGCGGCTCTGAAAGCCCACATACACCCCCCTTGAAAGCTGCAGCCCTGCCCCACAGCAGCAGCAGGGCAGGATGGCAGAGGAGCGGGGTGCTGTGGGGTGGCAGGGAGTGGGGGTACCCTGCATCCCTGGGCACCACACATCCCTCCCTGCCCTACGCCACGCCACAGGGCTCCCGGTTACAGCGCTGGGCTGCAGCATGGGTTTGTTATGTAGCAGGGCTGCAGAAAGAACACATCCAAGGAGCCTCCGGAAAAATGAGATTCAGAGAGGGGAGGGAGAAGGGGAGGGAGGGGGGCGAGGACAAGCTCCGTGCTGTGCTCTCACCAGACTTTCTCTCGGGGTACAGCGAATGATATGGCATTTGGATTACTCCAGCTGAATTGAATTTCTAAACTGCCCCCTCGAGACACAGCATTGAGAAAAGGCATCAGTGAGAAAACACCATCCTGCGGCTCGGGGCACCCGCGGTGCCACGGGGACACAGGGGTGGCGGTGGTGCTGTTGCATCCCAGGGCAACCCAAGGGTTGTTTCCATCCGTTCCCATCCCACCCGGCCCCATATGTACCTCTGGGCTCCTCAGCTTGCTTGGCGAGTTTGCGCAGGGCGGCGGCGAAGCTGGAGGACGGCGCTGCCTGGACGGACAAAGTGCTGCTGGCCGCCGGGCTGCCATTGGGGACGATGGAGCCGTTGAGAGGGGAGGGGGTCAGGGGGCTGACGGTGGCGGTGGTGCGAGTGGCGGTGGAGAGCATTCCTAAGGAAGGCGACTTCGACTCATGGCTCATGCCTGCAAACGAGAGCAGCGCGGGTCAGCAGCACTGAGGGGTTGGCACAGGGTGGGCACAGCACTGGGCTGCACAGCCCCCCATTTCCCCCCCCCCCCCCCCCCCACCAGCCCCAGTTTGCCTCCAAGACCTCCCATCCAGAAGCAGAAAACAAGAAGTTCCCCTTCAACCCTATTAAACCAGCCCCCCTAAGCTCATGTAATAGTGAGGAGCCCCCAGTGGGGAGCAGACCCCCCCCCCCAGAGCCCTCCGTGTGCTCACAGTAAGCAGCTCGTGGCGGCGGGGCTGCAGCTTATGGAACAAAGCGAGCGCGCCCGGGCTGCTCGCCTGCAGCAAACAAGCTGCCACGGGGCCACCAGCTGCCGCCAGCGTCACATGGCCCCACTGATCCGGCACGCCGCGCTGATAATGGAGCAGGGGGGGCTCAGCATGAGGGAGGGGGGGAAACGCAGGGCTGTGGGCATCAACGCAGCCCCCTGGCAAAACGGTGCAGCCGCATCCCGTGCTGCAACCATTGCAACCCCAAAACCCCACCGCTGCAGCCTCCGATCTCCTGGAGCGCAGCCCCCAGGTTGCTGGCACCGTAACCCCACAGTACTGCTTCTGCATCTCCAAATCGTCACCGCTGCGCCCCCAAATCCACACCATCACATCTCCACTCAGCACCATTTGATACACAAATCCTCACAACTGCACCTACACCGGGTTGCCCCCACATATATGCCTCAATGCCTACCAATGCAATTGCAAATCCCCATCGTTGCCCCCCATAATACAACCCCCAGTGGGCGCCGCTTCACACCCAAATCCCCACTACTCCACTTACAAACCTCCACCACGACTCCCCACTGTACCCCCAAGCTTCCCTTCCCCCCCCCCGCCCTCCCCCCCCCCCCCGCCCTGTGGCACATCCCAATTCCCACCCTTGCAACCCCAACTCTCCACCACTGCAACCCCAAATCCCCAGCACCACTATGCACCATTTCACACCCGAATCCCCACTACAGCACCTTCAAACCTTCACTACTGCAACCACGCCGCACCCCCAGGCCCCCTCACTGTACACCTTCATCTCCAAAAGCACTCCCTCAAATCCTCCTCATCGTACCCCCAGGTCTCCAACATTGCACCCAAAAGCACAACAGCTCTATAGGACCTGGGGAGGGGGTGGGAGGGGGGTGGTTTGGATATGGGCATGACACAGTGCACCCCACACCCCATCGGGGTGCCTGTCCCCCCCCCTTCCCTGGCTATCCCAGCCATGAGCTCCAGGGCTCTCCACCTCCAAAAACAGCAACTGCTGCTGTCAGGACCCTTAAAATAGATTTCTAAATGAGCAGAATCATTAATGCCGGGCTAAAATTAGCCCTGCTCCCTGGTGGGCAGACCTGGGGGGGGGGGGGGGGGGGGGGGGGG